GTTAAATTGAATGACAGTGATATACACAGTTATAAAGTTGTTCGTGATTGGATTATAGGCATATCATGTTCTAACATCTGTCCCTTCATCAGTGCACATTTCCCACCACCGATGTCCCCAGTCCCAGTCTCCTGCCACCACCCTATTCCTCCTCACCATAGTAGGTGCTTTTCTTCTCTCTCTCTCTCTCTCTCTCTCTCTCTCTCTCTCTCTCTCTCTCTCTCCCCCCACTCCCCTCTCCCCCCTCTCCTTTTGGGCCTTATGGTTTACAAAACAGATATGGGAGTATTTTGAGTGTATTCTGTTACCTACTTTCAACACTCAGTTCTTGTCCAAAGTGATCATTTCCAACAATTATTGTCATATATTTCCCTTCTCTAGCCTGACTGCCTTCCATCCTCCCCTCCTTACACACACACACACACATACACACACACACACGCATACTTGTGTTAGCTTCCAGCCATTGACCAAGTTCTCCTGGTTCCTGATTTCCCTGGACTTGGATATTAGTCTCATACCATTTTTTTCAATATCCCTAACAGTGTTAGTATTTAACAACTAGCAACTATGAGTTAAAACAGGATTTTTTTTTTTTTTTGCTTTTTGAGTCACACCCAGCGCTGCACAGGAGTTACTCCTGGTTTATGCACCCAGGAATTACTCTTGGCGGTGCTCGGGGGACCATATGGGATGCTGGGAATCGAACCTAGGTCGGCTGCGTGCAAGGCAACGCCCTACCCCTGTGCTATTGCTCCAGCCCCTAAAACAGGATTTTAATTGAATGTCTTCATCTAAAAAGAAATAATTTTTCTTGATTTTCTAGATTCTTTCACTGATTAACTCTCATTTCTTAGCCAGATAGATTTTTAGGACTTGGGAATAGCTTGTTGGTACTAAAATTTTTCATAGATTTGTTTCATACAAAAAAAAATAAAGTACATGACAGTAATACACTCAACTCAGTTTTTTAAAACAACAAAGCAGCTCTGTCGCCTTTGTTGTTTGCTTGCTTTGGTTTTCTAAGTGGTACTTAGGAGGCCCAGGGGCTCTTAACCCTTGTACTGTCTCTGACTGGTTTTTTGCTTTAAAGCCGAGTAGAAAATAGGGAAGAGATCTTTACATGCCCTTTCCCTCCATTTTGACAAAGTTAATCAAAAAAGGATAAGGAGATTTGGAACACTTAATAGTTTATTTCCTGTCAACTGTTTCATTCAAATCATCAAACAAGTTTTGTAATTTATTACCTTGCTTTCTAAATATTAATCCTGCATCTTCACAGAAGAACTTAGTATTGTTTATCAAATGGAGCACTAGACTTTACTTCTCCACTGTTTTTAAAACAAAATTCCTATTCTCAATCAAATAAGAATAGGATTATATTTATAGATATAGATATACATATATGTATATAGTTGTATGTATATAGATCATAAATAAATATTTAATTTCAGAGCTATTAGAAACATTCTAAGGAACTTATTTAGTCTGTATATTTTCCAATAAAAGAAATTTGGAAGGTCACACAGGTGGCTTATAAATCAAGATCTCCAAATTTTAACTTCTCTTTGCTTTTTTCCCCAAAATTTCTCTAAAGCATTCTGTTTATATCTTTCTTATTGATACTTTAAAAAATTGTTATTTTGCTTTTTGAGTTATACCCGGTGATGCTCAGGGGTTACTCCTGGCTCTGCACTTAGGAGTTACTTCTGAAGGTGCTCAGTGGACCATATGGGATGCTGGGGATCAAACCCTGATCAGTTGCATGCAAGGCAAACGCCCTACCCACTATGCTATTGTTCTGGCCCCTGTTTATGCTTTTAAATAATGTTGTAATTTAAGCTTTTACCAAATTATTAAATTATGTGATAGGGATCAAGCAATGGCACATATTAAGTTGAAAAATTATTTGTTTTTACTGGTAACTTGTTAGAAGTACCAAAAAGTATTTAAGAGCATGCTCTCTGGGAGCTTTCCCTGCTATTTTTGTGTGATACTCAGTTTCCACCCAGAAAGCAGTCAGGATTATCAGAAGAGTCCCTCCCTCCCTTGCTCTCTCCATCACTTCCTTCTTCCCTTCCTCTTTTCCTCCCTCCTTCCCTTCCTCCCTCCCTCACTCTCTCCCTTCCTGTCTTCTTCCCATCCTCCTTCTCTCCCTTCTTTCCTCCCTTCCTCCCCTCCTCCCTTTCTCCCTTCCTCCCTATCACTTCAGAGATATAAATTATAGAATCCTTTATAGACTATTTTACGTCACTGTTTTTTCATTTTAATCTGTTGTAAAGATTTCTCTGTTAGTGCATGAAGTAAAAGTCATTCCCTTTTATGATTGGTTTGTATTCAATGTACTGATGTCACAAAATATTTATTTTCTTCAACTCAGCCCTATCAAGATAGACTTTGGTTGTTCACAACTTTTAGTTATCATGAGAGTTCTAGCAGTAAATATCCTAACATATTTGGCTATAGCTGGATATATAAGATATGTTCCTTCCACTTTTTGCTCTGTCTATGACTTAGGTATTTAATAGTCCATCTGTGATTCCTGTAATATTTGTTATATAACACCATAATTATTTTTCTACGCATTTTGTGGTAGCTCATATAATCTACATTTATATGAAAACAATTTTTCTTTTGTTGATATTGATTTTATTGGAAAGTTGGCTAATGAAAAAGACAAATTCAACTGAGATTGTGGGATTAACGAGATTTTCTTACAAGTGGTATCTGAAGTAAGAGAACTTACTTCTTTGGGTTTATTTTTAGGGGGGTGGGGCATACCCTGCTATGCTAAGGGCTTGCTCCTGCCTCTGTGCTCAGGGATCATTGGGGGACTACTTTGGTGTAGAAGATGGAACCCAGGTTGGCTGGTACAGGGCAAGTGCCCTACCTGCTTACTATCGCTCTGGGTCAGTAAGAGAACATCTTTAGACAATGATTCTGAAGAGGCAGATGTTTGATGTCTTGGATTTATGGAGAAGAGAGCTGGGAGCGGAAGGGTATTGACATGAATGGAGGCTGGGGTCAGGGTGTCAAAAGTCCTCTGTTTTGTATAATCTGCATTAATGGTACTTTCTTAGATCTAGGAAATAGGACTTTTCAAAGTTAAAGCAGTGAGGTAAAGCAGATATTTTTGCTCTTCTCCTGGGCTGGCAATAGTTTTCTGGAAATGAAATTCTTAATGTCTTTTCTTTGTATTGGGTTTGTTGGCAGGAAGTGAAATCTGAATTACCTTTAAGCTTTGACTTCAAGGGCACAGGACAGACATATGGATAGTGGTTTAAAAATTTAAATATAGTTTCTCCAGCCTTATAGAGCATACTTTTCTTGCTTTCCAAAACTTACTTATATATTCACACTTGTAAAATCATAAGCAAATTACATGGTATATGATGCTGAAACACACAGAACACAACAAAAAAGTGTCACTACTTTTCAGTGCACTGTGTGCATTGAAAGTATCAATGCTGTGTTTGGATAGAGTCAAAGAAAGATCTCACATTGCTGTCCCACCTTCTAGCTGCAGGCCGTGTAACTAAGTATTTTTTGTTTGGTAAAATTGAAGAAGAGATTTTATTTGGTAAAATGCTTATATTACTTGGTAAGATCTTTTATACCTCGAGTTCATTGAGGAAAATGATTCATTTTTCCCCCACATATTTATCCTGAGAGATATAAACAGACAGATAGGCAGGGGAGAGGGAGGGAGAAAGAGAGAGAGAGACAGACAGACAGAGAGAGAGAAAGAGAGAGAGACAGAGACAGAGAGAATAAATATACTGGGGAGTTTAGCAAGATTGTAATAACAATTATATACCCTCCTCGCCTATCTTTTATATCTTTTGTAGATTTGCTTTAAAATTAGCATAATTATAATTTTCATTAATAGTTCTAATTAATACTGTGATAGGGTCTGTGATATACATATCTCTCATGTATATACTTATATTTTCATGAAGTGGGGCATTGTAGAATCTCACGAAATATTCACGAGTAAGATGTTCTTCAAAGAAAAACACTTTTCCCTCATCTTTATATTCCCAGCACAGTGTATTATAGATTAAGCATACTACTTATCAGGTGAAAGAAAAATGAATTCATAAAGTTCATTCCTTAGAACTTGGTTAGAAATGACGAAAGAAAAACATTTTTTTTTTGCAAGTTGGGAGGGAAAGTACATGTAGGCCTATGTTTGCAATTCAGCTTTGATTGAGAAAGAAATCGATTTTGTTCTGTAACTTTTAGGAACATGTCTCTTAAAATTACTCTCATTAAAAATGCATGCATTTTTAAATGCCACGTTAGTTTTCATGTCACTTCAAAAAACTGATCCCTCCATTTCTCCAAAGAAGATACACAGATGGCCAATAGACACATAAAAAGGTGCTCTTGATATTGTTTAATCAAAAAAATGCAAATCAAAATATCAGCAAGATCCCTCCATACATCTGTGAGAATGGCCATTCTCCAAGAGAAAAGAAACAAGTAATGGTCTGAGGAGAAATGGGAACTTTTTACACTCTTGATAGGAATGTCCATTGATGCATTTGTTTGTGGAAACTCTAGATATTCCTGAAAAATATATTTTTTAAATAGAAATGCTCTATAATTTGGTTATCTTTTATTTTTTGTATTTATCTCCAAAGTATAAAACAGGAATTGGGAAAGATATATGGATCCCTTGTTTGCAGCCTGATACATAATATTAGGCCAGTACCTGGAAGCAGCTTACATACTCTTCAGTGATGTGTGGAGAATGAGGATGCATATACACAATGGCATACTACCAATAACTTAGGTGGAGGACTATAAATGTCATATGATGTCACTCAGCAACCAGTGTGTGAAGTAAATGAGAGAAAAATGAAAAATTCATGCTATAAGGCAGTTACTATTTTTAGCTCCAAGGGGAACATGGGGTGGGTTAATCAGGACAAAGGAAGCGATTAGGTAATGAAGGACAAGATGGACTTTGTGTGGTATATATGGTGTGGATATGCATGTTGGCATTATAGAATATCACATCAGACAACTCAGTAAACGGCTGGACAGTAGCTAGATAGCATGGTCCTTGGGAGTATCTGCTGCCTGTGACTTGTATGGGTTTCCCTAAGGGACCCTGGACATAGTCTACGACAGTGGACATTCTCATCTGCCTTTTTTGCCATCTTCAATATGAAGATTGAGATGGGTATTTGGGGGATCCCTTGAAAGTTCCAGGCTTAACTGGAAGCAAGACACTGGCAGCGAGTTGCAGAACAAGAAGCGTGCCACTGAGTCCCTTTGCAGGGCCAAGTCCCATTTCCTGATGCTGCTGCATTGGAATCCATGTGGTAGAGGAGTGGCTCATTTCTAATGGGTGTGGGGTCAGATATATCCCTAACCTAACCAAAGGTTCTCTTGGACACTTTTCTGGCCCTATACTCACAAGAAACCCCAAATTGCCTCTCCTGAGTCACATCTACCAATAAATCCTTTTTTTAAAAAGTTCCAATCAAATTTTATTTACAAAATCAGGTGGAGAATTCCAATTTTCCAACCCCTGAGATAACTGTATAATTATCAAATAACAAAGGTATGCCTCCCCACTTTTAGTAGTCTGTTAGCAGTTTTCTTTTTTTTTGTTTGTTTTGTTTTGTGTATGTGTGTGTGTGTGTGTGTGTGTGTGTGTTTCCTTAAATTTTTATTAGTGAAGCACCATGAGGTACAGTTGTAGACTTACAAATTTTTGTGCTTGGGTTTCAGTTATACAATGATCGAATACCCATTTCTCCACCAGTGCCCATTCTCTACCACCACCAGTCCTAGTATCCCTCCCACCCCCCTTCCCCCCATCCCCCATCCCACCCTACCTCTGTGGCAGGGCATTCCCTTTTGTTATCTCTCTCCTTTTGAGTGCTGTGGTTTGCAAAAGACCCAGTGAATCCTTCTTCTTACCCAACTGCAATAACAAGCAAGCAAGCAAGCAAGCAAGCAAATAAATAATAAATAAATAAATGTTTGGTTGAATTAAATGATGAACACCCTCTTTATCAGCTTCTCGGGCAACTCTTGTCCTGTAGTTCACAGAAATGTCATGCTGCACTCTCTGTATTTTGATGTGTGAGTATGTGAGTGTCTTTGTTTCTGGATGCTATAGAATTCCGTGCCAGAGAACCACTTGGCCTAAATTAATTTAGGTAGGAGCAAAAAAAAAAAAGTTCATTTGAGGAATACTGTTTCTAATTCATTGACTTATATTTCTGTATTGGCACATTTGCTTAAATTCACTACCGGAGAAAGTACATATATAATACTTAGCTGTATCCTAATCATAAGTAGATTTGGTATTTATTCTGGAGGCTATGTGACTATATTTGCTCTTTTAGATAATGTAACTACAAACTCATGATTTAAGTTCATCTTGCACGCCAGTATTCTTACGGAATATATTTCTCAGTATGAGAATCATAGGAATTTATTGCTTTGATGTTTGCCCTTGGGATGGAGCGATAGCACAGTGGTAGGGCATTCGCCTTGCATGCGGCCGAACCAGATTCAATTCCTTCGCCCCTCTTGGAGATCCTGGCAAGCTACCGAGAGTATCACGCCCACACAGCAAAGCCTGGCAAGCTACCTATGACGTATTCGATACGCCAAACACAGTAACAAGTCTCACAATGGACTGGGCCCTCTTGAGCAAATTGATGAACAATGGGAAGAAAGTGCAGTGCTACTGATGTTTGGCCTTGATACTTATTTGTAGCTATGCATTTCCAGTTTGTTAGTGCCATGGTATTCCTTTTCATTGAGTAATCTTGAATCAAGTAGTGATATTTAATCTTTTTTTCAAGCAGGTTTCGAAGCTTTACTGAATAGCAGTGGACTACCAAGTTACCTTTCACCCAGTTTGTTTTTGTTTGAGGGCCATATCCAAAGTTTGAGGGGCTACTCTTGACTCAGTGCTCAGGGGACTGCATCATGCTGGGGATTAAACCCAGCTCTTGTGCATGTGAAGCCAACAGGCTAGCTGTTATAGATTTGAATTAACTGTCATAAAGGACTCATCTGCTCTTTTATGAACTAGATTTCTAGTTGAATCTAGATTTCTAGAGAATCTCTGAGCCCACTCATCTTGGAGATCTATTGACTTAAACAGAATTGATATGAGGAGGAAATGTCTCCACCTCCTGTTACTCTGTGGTAACCTGATGGACCTTGATTAGTCACCAACTGTCCTTTTTCTTGGCAGGTGGAGTGGATCCAACAGCAAGTTGTAAAGAAACGGATCAAGCGGGATTATGACTTCAGTCCTAGCCAGTCTACATACTTCAATGACCCCAAGTGGCCCAGCATGTGGTACATGGTAAGGCTCCCTGGCAGGGGGCAGCATCATCCACGTTACAAGTTGTGCAGGGACGGTTGAGGGACTGAGTGGACACAAAAGAGTAGCCAGGGACTTTTCCTATCTCAGGGCCCACCACAGGAGATTTGTTGCAGGCCTGTGATATTTGCTGGATCTCTTTGAACTCAGATCTTTGATTCTCAAGCAAAAGCTGGGAGTTCTGATGTCGAGAATTCCTGATTGCAGAATAATTCTTGTGCAGTAGTTTCTAAATGTTGGTCAGAATGTAGAAAAATGTAGTAAGCTTCAGACCCCCGTGAACTTCCCGAATAATTACTTTTTGCCTCTGATACCTACTCTGTCCACCTGGAAGCCAGTTTGGCTATGGATACTGGCTCTTAGGAGTCAAAGAAATGATTGCTGTGAAGTAACAGATGTAATACTAAAGTCCTCTAATGTTTCTAGTTGCAGTTTTTAAAAATAGAGTTAGGAAAAAAACTGACCAGAAAATATTTTTTTTTTAATTTTTTTTTCATTAGTGAAACACCATGAGGTACAGTTGTAGATTTACAATTTTTTGTGCTTGGGTTTCGATTATACAATGATCAGATACCCATCCCTCCACCAGTGCCCATTTTCCACCACCATGGATAATATCCCCCCCACCCCCATCCCCTCATCCCCCCCTGCCTCTGTGGCAGGGCAATCCCCTGTGTTCTCTCTCTCCTTTTGGGTGTTGTGGTCTGCAAAAGAGGCATTGAGTGGCAAACATGTTCAGTCCATAGTCTACTTTCGACATGCATCTCCCCTCCTGGGAGGATCCTCCAAACACACTTTATTTGGTGCTCCCTTCTCTATCTGAGCTGCCCTTTCCTCTAGAATGCCCGACTGGCCACTAAGCTATGAAGTAATCCTCCTGGTGCTGATCTCAGCTATTCTTGGGTATTAATCTCATATTTTGTTACTTTATATCCCCCAGATGAATGCAATCTTTCTATGTCTATCCCTCTCTTTCTGACTCATTTCGCTTAGCATGATACTTTCCATGTTGTACCACTTGTATGTAAATTTCATGACTTCATCTTTTCTAAGAGCTACATAGTACTCCATTGTTTAGATGTACCAAAGTTTCTTTAACCAGTCATCTGTTCTTGGGCATTCAGGTTTCTTCCAGTTTCTGGCTATTGTAAAGAGTGCTGCAATGAACAAACAAGTGCAGATGTCACTTCGACTATACATTTTTGCCTCTCTGGGATATATCCCCAGGAGTGGTATTGCTGGGTCAAATGGGAGCTCAATTTCTAATTTTTTGAGAATCGTCCATACTGTTTTCCAGAAGGGCTGAACCAGTCGACATTCCCACCAACAGTGAAGGAGTGTCCCTTTCTCGCCACATCCGCGCCAGCATCGGATGCTTTTGTTCCTTTGAATGTGGGCCAGTCTCTGAGGTGTGAGATGGTATCTCATTGTGGTTTTGATCTGCATCTCCCTGATGATTAATGATGTAGAGCATTTTCTCCCAGAAAATATTTGACTTGTGACTTGTTCATTGGTTCAAGCAAAAACTTTCTGTCAGGGACATTTTCTTTGCGGGAATTGTGATCCACCAGTTCATTAGACTGGGCCTCTTTTAAAAATACATCATCTCCTGTCTTTCAGTTTTTTGACTTTTGAGGACCCCTCCCAAGCAGTGCTCTGGGTCCCCGGGTCAGCTCCTCCAACATTTGACCTGCCTTGGCTGGCATGATCTGCACAAGGCCGTGACCTGATGCCTCTCAGGCCTGATGGTGGTGGAGGTCTTGTACTCTTGAGTCCTTGGGCTCGATTCCCAGCACCCAGAAGGATGAACCAACCAAAACCAGACAGAGCTGTACCTGATACTGACTGTTTGCCCCCCCTCCCCCTCATCCCTCAACTACTTCCTTCCTCAGCTCCCCTGCACCCTCATTCCCTGATGCTTCCCAGAATCTCTCACTAGGCACTTAGTTTTGTAGCTGCTGATATGTTTTTCTTAACTCTCCTGCTGCTCGGAAGTGGGGTTGACATTGTTCCCGGAGAATCTGACCCTTGTGCCAACACTCAGGATTTTTGTTTATTTGGAGATGGGGGGGGGATGGCGTTTTCCTCAGATTCTTTATTCTTCGCTTTTACCTAGTCATGAAAGATTGTGGAAATATCTTAGACCCCAAATGCAGTTTGATGCAGCAAATGCCCGTGGGAGAACGAAAATTGGGAGCCATAGGGCTAAGTTCAGAGAGAGCTGGGACACTAAGGAGTATTCACGTAGAACTTGCCTGAGGGGTCTGTGGGACACTTGGGAGTTTATTGGCTTCAAGACCGAGAAAGAGGGATGCGTAGGGAAAGCATTGCAGTGAGTCTTCATTGGAGCTAAGGAACTTCATCTGTTGTAATGAAGTGATAACTGTGTCATGGGATGAGAGATGGGATAGAAGCAAAGGTCTTTTCCATCTTTGCCTTTTTTTTTTTTGAGGGGAGGAGGTTTCACACCCAGAGATGCTCAGGGGTTACTCCTGACTGTTTACTCAGGAATTATTCATGGTGATGCTTGGGGATCATATAGGATGCTGGGATCAAACCTATGTAGGCCAGGCAAGGCGAGCATCCTACCCCTTGTGCTATCTTTCCAGCCCAATCTATCCTTGGTCTTAAGGGTAGAGGGAGGAAACCTGTGTTTGTCTGACATTTCTTTTTTGTAATAAAAAGCCAAATCACTGTTTGCATTTGTTGGCAAGCTGGTAGAAATGTAGGTTCCCCTAATTCTCTTGCTCTGGTTGGGCATGTGTGGATCTGGTGGCATCCATCATCAGCCGGCTTGGTGAATGTAGAGGTTTTGTTGCTTCTCTGGTGAGAGATCGGCACATTTGGGGACTATTGCTGTTTCATTGGAAGTTTTCCGCTAACATGAGAAATAGTTGGGGCTGGAGAGATAGCACAGCGGGTAGGGTGTTTGCCTTGCATGCGGCTGACGTGGGTTCGATTCCCAGCATCCCATATGGTCCCCTGAGCACTGCCAGGAGTAATTCCTGAGTGCATGAGACAGGAGTAACCCCTGTGCATCTCCAGGTGTGACCCAAAAAGCAAGAAAAAAAAAACAAAAAAAGAGAAATTGTGTGGGAAGACCCCTTTGTTTGACATCTTAAATGTTGGGTTCCAGGGCTGGAACAATAGTACAGAGGGTAGGATGCTTGCTTTGCATGCATCTGACCCAGGTTCCATCAGCACCCCATATAGTCCCCTGAGCACACCAGGAGTGATTCCCGAGTGCAGAGATAGGAGTAATCCCTAAGTCACCTTAAACAAACACAAGAACAAAAATGTTAGATTTTTTTTAAAGTATGAATTTGAAAATAATTCACATAGGCAGCATTTATTGAGTACTACGTGCCAGTCGCCATGGGTAGAGAGTTTGAGTATTTTGCTAACAGAGTTGATCAGCAGTACATGTCACTGTTGGCCAGATTATAACATCGAGGAATCTGAGTCTTGTTGACAGCAGAGACTGTAAATCAGGTCGCCCAGCCTGAAAGCACAGGAGCACAGATCTCAGAGCAGGCAGGATGATAGAGTCTACAGGAGTGAGATAGCTTCATGTTTTACCCGTCTGTTTATAAGTGTCATCAAAAGAAAAGAGTAAGTCCTCCCCTCCAGGAGCTTTGAATCTCTCTGTTGAGAAGTGTTGAGGTCTAGAGTTGAATGGTTGGGTTCCTTATAGAATGAACATGATATCTAGGGGATGACCAAAGGCTTTCAAAGCTTTCTTATTAATAGTCACTTTCTCCATAACAAAAGGAACAGGATAGGTTGTCTACTTCCTGTTCATCTCTCAGGAGCAACATCACAGAATGCAGCGTCTGGATTCAGAATCTTTTTGTTTCACTTACTATGCCTATGATGGACTCCCAGATCATAGTATAGTCACATGTAACATTAATGATGCTGTGGTTCCAGCTGGGCTGCTTGCATGATCGAGTATCAATTGGTTCCATCATCCAAGCAAGATAGCATAAGGCTCCATGGTGTCTGCCTAGCAGAGTAATCACTTACACTCATCTTTCTTGGAGCTTCTTCCCACTGGTACACGATGCATGACTGTGTCTAGATCTTCTGTATCAGCTGCCTACTAAGTCACAGAGCTTAGTTCCCCAAACCACAATCTCACTGGTTCTTGGAGGCAGACATCTGGCCAGAGCCAGCAAGGGTGACTTGCCTGTTCTAAGCTATCTGATGCTCCAGACACAAGACTCAAAGATGCTCCTCTACTAGCTGCAGGATTCACCTTCAAGGTGGCTTTGTCATGTGAATGTTTCCTGAGCATGTGGCCTGTGCCACAGGGCTGCCAGACTGGTGCTGACTTAACACAGGACATGTGATCTCAGTGATGGTGTGTCAAGAGTGTGATGGCATCTGGGAAGTATATTTTAGAAGCCATGGAGAGATACTATCTGTAATCTGCTGCTCTGAGTCAGTGTGTGAAGAGGACCTTCACTAGGGTTTGTAAAGGAGGTGAGGGAAACTGAGAACAGAATGAAACCTGGGCCCAGGGCAATAGTGCAGCAGGTTGAACCGTTGCCTTGCAAGCAACCAATTGGTTGGTTTTCCGGTATCCCATATGGTCCTCTGAGGCCATCAGGAGTGAAGCCTGAGCACAGAGCCAGGAGTAAGCCCTAAGCACTACCAGATGGGGCCCCAAAACAAACAACAACAAAAAAAGAGAGTGAAAAAAAGTTCTGCCTGAGAATTTTTGAGCCCATAGGAAACCCTCAGTAAATCATGTTTTTTATTCTTTTCCAACTTCTGAACCAAAATCTTTGCAGTCTTCTTTTCACCTGTTGTTTCTCTGTTGTTCCTACTCAGAGTAGAGGGGTTGGCCCATCCCGTGGGCATTCTGCAGAGCGCTGAGTCCTGCTTCAGCTTGTTAGCTGGATTCCTTCCTGTCATTCTCTGTTCATCACGGCACCGTGGAGATTAAAGGAGGGCATGGCGAGTGCCTGAGTGTCTCT